GTTTGTCATGCTCGTAGGATGAGCATATTTTAGGCTTTGGTCACCATCATTATAAAAACCAAATTACCAATACGTTATTAAAATTCCATTACACCCCCAGATTCCAAAAAATCGAAGCAAAAATGGAGAATCCAAAAATTTAAGGTACTAATAGCCTAGGCCTAGCTAGCTGGTAGGCCACCTATAAAAATAAAATGTTAGATCCATCTTCTCATGAATCATGACTCAAAAATGGTAAGCCATGCAAAGTTTAGTTTAGTACCCTTAGGTAGGAGTTACGGGCTGGATTAATAGTGGACTTAATTACTATTATATTATACTAGTTTTGACAAAGTGTGAAGAAGGGACAAAGGGCGGCTAGATAGGAATGCAAATTAAACGTCATGCAAATGACAACAAAAGAACAGCAATGAGAAGAAAATAAATAAAAAACCCTGCTAATAGCCAATTAAATTTCATTTTCAAAAGTAAAACAAAATAAATTGTATTTGATAATTAATTTTTTTATGGTTAATCAAAAATGTCATTAAGCACGGGAGATGCCAATAGGCATTAAACTCCTCTCAAGGTTTAAACAAGCAGCCTAACCTCTATACATTTCAGCAAACACTCTGTCCAAACTAGTGAGAAACATGTCTAAAACTATTTTGAAGCTGTACACTTCCTGCTATAAAGTAACGAGCATCACTTGTAATTTTTATCCACAAAATGGAAGGAGAGCACCAATCACTATCTCCTGCAACTCTTCTGCACCTCTCGCGCCATATCACTTGAACCACTCCAACAATTCACTCCCCATTGGAGGTGTTCCTCCCAACTAGTGAAAGTGGGAACCAAACAGTTTATCTGCTGCATAATGTGCTGCAAATTCCACATAGTATAAGAACATGAGCAGAACCGATGCACACATGATTCTTATCCTCCTGGGCATAAAACACACAAATCATCAGTAGTCAAACGCCAAGCCAGCAATTTGTCTTTAGTATTTATACGACCCATCACCACAAGCCAGATTAATAGTGAGTGCTTAGGATAATACGGTTTGCCCCAAACCACTTTGCTCCAAGGAACAAACTGATGAGGAGAGCGTATTGAATCCCAAATTGTCTTGATTGAATAACTCTTAAGAGAGGCTCCATTCCACTACAAAGTATCACCACTGCCTGTCATAAAGACCTGTGCCCTAGGCTTGCATTTGAGGATCTTCCTCCACACCCAAGAACCACTAGGAGTAGTCCGAATATCCCAGACATTCCGCTGCTTTACCCTGTACTTGTAGATCTAGGCAACCCAGATATAGCCAGCCTTTGCCAGGAGATTCCAAAGATGGCGAATGACACACGCCTGGTTACAGGTCTTAAAATCACGAACCCCCAACCCACCTTCCTTTGTTGGCAAGTCTACACAATCTCATGCTACTGGCACCCTCTTTCTTGAACCCCCTTCTCCCACATTACAGAGAAAATCATTACGACCTGCATACCTTCATCAACCTTAATACCTTCATTGGCAGCAGAAAAATCGCCATCCAGTATTGGAAGACACTTGTAATTACTGAAGAGATTAACTGTAGACGACCTCCATAGCTAAGAAACCTTGACTGCCAGCTCCTCATCCTTTCTGTTATCTTGTCAACCAACACCTGGCAGTCATGTGAGCTCAGCTTCCCAGTTAGTAAAGGAACCCCTAAATATCTAACAGGGAGAGTATCCAGAGGGAACCCAGTTGTTCTTGAGATAAAATCCTTCTCATCCTGAGATATCCTCGCACAGTAGAGACTACACTTAGACATGTTGCATTGAAGCCCAGAGGCAATGTAGAACTCGTCAAGCATCCGTCTAATTCCAGCAACACCTCTCACAGAACCATTGGTAAAAACAAGCAAATCATCTGCAAAGCACAGATGAGTAATCTCCAGTGCTTTACATCTTGGATGATAAGGGATTTGGTTGTCAATAACAGCCCTTTCAAGCAACCTAGAGAAAATTTCTATAGCTATGGTAAATAGAAATGGAGAGAGGGGGTCTCCTTGTCTATGCCCTTTTCCCGCTGGGATGTACCCACATAGTCCACCATTAAAGGCTACACTAAACATAGGAGTAGTGATGCAAGCTCTAACAAGATTCAGAAAGCAGTCTGGGAAATTCATAGCATGCATCGCTTGGAACAGAAACTGCCAGTCTACCGAGTCAAAGGCTTTCTTTAGATCAATCTTCAAAGCACACCTAGGAGTAATTAACCTCTTGTGGTAGTCTTTTACTAGTTCAGTGGCTAAGAGGATGTTATCACTTATGGATATACCCTTGACAAAAGTAGATTGGGAAGGTCCTATTACCATATGAAGCACATTAGAGAGCCTATTTGATAATAGTTTGGATATACCCTTATAAACCACATTGCAACAAGATATAGGTATAAAATCCTTCATTTGTTCTACATTAGGAATCTTTGGGATAAGAGCACGGATGGTGGAGTTTACCTGTCGTGGCATAATCCCCGTTGAGAAGAATTCCAGAACTGTGTTTTCCACATCTGTCCCAACAATATCCCAATCAACAGTGAAGAATTCAGTTATGTAGCCTTATGGACCAGGGGCCTTATCCCTGCCCATAGATTTGAAGACCTTCTTGATTTCCTCTCTAGTGATATGGGTTCTTAATACCTCATGATCTTCATAAGTAAGCCTCATTTTCAGTAGCTCCAGAAAGAAAGAATCAGGGGAACTTCTGCACAACAGGATCAGGATGACCTAGCAATCCCTTATAAAAAGAGACTGCCAAATTACTCATCTCCTTAACCTCAGTCAAAACCTTACCACTACCATCAACCAGCTTTACAATATTCTGCCTGTGGGCACGAGCTTTTACTGATGCATGGAAGAATTTGGTATTCATATCACCCTGTGACACATACTGCACCCTAGACTTTTGGCGATAAAAACTCTCCTCTGCAGCCTGCAACTGCTGGCAAGCAACAGCAAGCTTTAATTCATTCTCAATAGTTTCAGCATTAGGAGATGCTAAAACCAACTTCTGAGCTTCTTCCAAATTCATTTCTACTTCTCTAGTTCTCTTAGATAGCTCTAAATAACTTGTTCTATTCATCTTTTTCAGCCTCATCTTTAACTCTCTTAGGCTGCCATACAGAATTTGATGGGAAGACCCTTCACCTCCCATTTTCCACACTTCATTTAGCAAGGTACACATATGTGGGGTGAGACCTCCAAAATTTAAAGAACTTGAAAGGCTTTGGGAGGGTTGATACCTTTGGTACAGTTTCCATCATAAGCCCACAGTGGTCTGAAACACCCGGAGACAGAGTTTTAGCAACACTGTTGAAGAACTTTGTTAACCATTCTCCATTGACAACAAACCTATCCAGTCTCTTAGCAATTGGGTTCCCCTGCTACTTATTCCACCAAGTGTACCAAGAACCCAACACCTTATGATCAAACAACCCCATTCTAGAAATCCAACCTCTAAAATCCATAATAGTGCTTTGAGTAACAACATCTGTGTTTGATGCCTCCTGAACCTCAGCAATAGCATTGAAGTTCCCCATGTAAAGACAGGGTCCCCCACTACCATTCCTAAGTACAGCTCTTCCTATAACTTTTGCCTATCAACAACCTTGTTAGGACTGTAGATAGCAGTAACCAGAAATGTAATATCTCCTAAAACCCTTACTTGTATAAAATGTTCCCCCATACTCACTTCAGTGACCTGAAGGCCAGGTCTCCATAATAACCAAACCCTCCTCGAGGAAGAGTAAGCATAGTTATCCAAATGCAACCATTGACTAAGGGGTCGTTTGGAAGCTGCGATTGTTAAATAGATGTATTGTTGAGAATGCATGTATAATATTATACATGTATTGTCGAATTTGATGCATTGTAGAATACAACTGTTGGAGAAGGCATTGCAGTAGACCCAGCACTAGAGGAAGCCTCAATGGCAGTAGCCCCAGCACTAGGGGAAGCCAGAACTTCTTCCTGAGTAGGAGCAGCCTCAACAGCCTCCCCCGTTTTAGGAGCCCATTGCACTTGTAATGCCTCTAAATCAACTGTTCCAGCCACCACCAGCTCTCTATCTTGCAAAACTTCCAGAGTACGACATTCATCGTCCTGTCCAACCTCATGCCCAAAGATTCCACATTGTGCACAACGATGGGGAACACTCTTGTAGCTGACAGAGATAATCAAAGTTTCCCCTCCTTCTGGCCGAATACGGAAATCCGTTGGAAATTCAGAATCAACAGACATTTCGATGCATACTTTAGTAGAACTCATCTGAGCACCCATCTTAGTAGCCTGATCCATCCATAGCGGCTTACCCAGTCTACTAGCAACCATGCTAAGACCCTCCACAGTTAGGTATTCTAGAGGTAAACCTCGCAGACTAACCCAAATCGACAGAACCCCCAAATTCAATTCCATCGACTGAATTCCCGGAGTCCACTTCCGCACAAACACCGGGTTACCCTCACAGTGCCATGGCCCGTTCTCAAAAACCCAATCACAGGAATCACTATCTCGGAGATGAAACATTATCAAGCTTTCGCTCAAAGGGGTAACCAGAACCTTACCATCACGACCCCAGAATATCTGAGCCCATCAACGGATTTTGAATAAGCTTGGAGGCTTCGCCAAAAACTGCCCCACTAACGAGTTACGCCTTCGAGCCGCACCTTCATCTCGAACCGCTTGAGGAATGACCAAGTCTCCATCGTCCAGCGTCGGAGCAACATATCGCAATTTGTTACCCTCACCTACTCCAAATAATTAAGCCAATTTGCCGAGGGGGAATCGGCCGGAGCGGCCATCCCCGCCGAACAACGACAACTAGGGTTCACTCGATAGAGAGAGAAAGAAGAGAGAAGGGAAAACAAATTTTTTTAATTGATAATTAATTTTTCTAACAAAAAGCAAGTTGCCTTTTCATCCGATTTATTATTTAAAATGAAGTATTATATATTGCTCTCGAGTATAATATTCCCTCTTACTTGACCTTCGAAATCCAACTCTCCCTCTCCTTACAAGGCTCTCCCAATCAAAACCAGCTGACTACTCAGAAAGAATTCCGGCCATCTCAAGCTCATTTATTTTTTTCCAGGGTTCTTGACTGGTTCCCAGGTCGGCTTCAGCTTCAGTAGCAGCTAGTGGAATGGTAATTCGGCTCAATCTTCAATTTAGCTTCGTCTTCCTTTCCAATTGCTGATTTCAATGCTCAATTTCGCCTTTTGCTGCTGCTTACTTTCTCTGCTTGTCTGCAAGTGCCCTGTTTGGTTGCTGGGAAAGTCCTTGATTGGCTAATTGAGGGTTCCTTTTTTCCTGGACAAAGGGGTTTGTCGTTTTCTCCTCTATTCTTCTTCCTTTCTTTCGGGGTCTTGGGAGTTAGTTTGCTTGAGTGATGAATGGATCGAAATTCGAATTCTCGGTTTCTTTTTGTGATATTAGTCTTTGAAGTGTATGTAGTGGGAATTCAGTCTGAGAGGATAAAATGGAGTGGAAGGAAGAGAAAAAAGTGAGCTCGTAGCTTTGCTTTCTTCAGAGCTTTACTTGTGGTTTGGAACTTAATTTGGAAGAGACTTTACTCACAATTCATTTGAAGCACAGCTTCGTTTTCTATCCACAACTTGCCCTCACGTTAAAAGGGAAGGAAAAGTGATGAATTCTGTTGTATTTAACTGGGGTTCCCCTTCTCCAACAGATTGTTTCCATCATCTAGCTGTCCATCCTTTTACCTGAGCTGTCCATCCTCCACTTGGAATGTTTTGGTTGGATCCAATTTCCTCCCTCGCTTTCACATTTTACTTTTGAATGGTTCATGCACGAAGGGGATGGTGGGAAAATCACACCTCCCCACTTTTCCTAGAACTGGAAAGGCAATGTTAAATGTCAAGTTTCAGACTTTCCACGTGATTGTCTAACCCTCTTCCCTTGATTGTCCTTCTCTCCATCTGTCACTTTTGTCTTTAAGAAAGACAAGTTGATTCCTTTTTTCCTTTCCTTTTCAGGGTGAAAATTGTTAGGAGTTAACCCATCAGGGAAGGTCAGCTGACCTACTTACTCTCGTCAATTACCCTTCCTAGTGATGGTTATGATTATGAGATGAAAGAAACATGTCATCTGTGTTTATTGTTTACTGTTTACATGTCTTTGAACAGATTTTCGGAGCCGTTGAATTGGTAGAGCGAGCCTGCCAGAGTGCTGTGGACTCTGCTCGTGAGTAACCTGCTAGTTAATGGTTTATTATTTGGGGCATTAAGGCCTTAAATATACTTCCTTTTATGTTATGCTCATTGGTTAATAGCTACTCCTTGTTATGTCTCTGGAAAATGTCTGCTGTACAATGTTCTTGAGCCACCTCTACTTTTCCTTTTGGCTTAAATGTTTGTTCAAATAAGCTCAGGGCCTTATTCTTTGTTGTGCTGGTGGTTTTTTCTTGTTTGGAGAAGTGTGTACAGTAATCTTCAGGATATGGGATGCATAGTGTCTACACCTAAGGATTCTGGTGGAAACAGGAGGAGACCAGCAAGTATAGGAGAGCTTTCTGTCTATGTTCCGGGGTTTCGAATACCTAAACCCGTTGATTTCTCTCAGGCTCTTGGTGACCACCTGTCGAAGAACTTAGTTGAAAGACTCTCTGCTCTAAGAACCCGGATTGTGGTTATGGCAGGCCAAGAAGCACCGACTGTCACTAGAACTCGAAGGAGAAGTGCTACACAACATGGTAGCTTGTACAAGATATTCTTTGCTTGTGGTAATTGCACAAGGTTTGCAGTAGAGAGCCCTTCATCTCATCAACATATCTGTTCTTTCTCTCTAGGTGGTTCAACGTTGGCTGATCTTCATCAGGCTCTTGAAGAATACTTGCCTGTTCTTTTGGGTTTGGTGAAAGATGGTAGCCAACTACAACACAATATCCAATTTGTGTGGGTAAATCAAGAGGATGAGGCAGAGGTGCGTGCCTGAGAGATTTCTATTATTTGTGTTAATGATATCATGATCCTTTTTGGCCTCCACTTTCTTTTTTGCATCTAAATGTATTTCGAACATCTCTGCAGGAAACGGCAATGTCAAATGCATGGTATGAGGTACTGTCTGTTTTGCACTTGATGGCAGTTCTATCATTATCACAGGCAAACTTGTTACTTCTCCCAAGAACATCGGCTGATGGTTATCAGCCAAAAGTATCAGAAGGTTGGTACACTTAAGGAAATTCTGTTAGTGGATCAAACGCGAAAAGTGTCTACTTGAGTTGTTATGTCTACATCCTAACTTTTCAACCTCAAATAATACTAACTTATCTTTAGCCGCAGTTTCTCATTTTTTTGGGGCAGCGTCAAATTTTGTATTTGCTCGAGTCCTTTACATATGGGTCTCTTTACATGTCTCTCTCTTGATGTTCTAGTATCTAGAATTCTGGAATATGGTGTCCTAATTGTCTCTAAAATTGAGTGGTCATTGGTTTCCTTTTCATAGAAAGCAGGCGGGCATCTGTTGACATATTATTGAAGGCCGCTGGGTACTTGGATTGTGCAGTTAGGCATGTTCTTCCACATTTACCAGCTGCCCTGAGGTTAATGTAGTCCAAGACTTAAATTAAAGATTGGTGCATGTAGTGCAACTGTTATTAGATTTTGAACATATTTGTTTTTGCTAGTAGGAGGGACTTGCCAGTCGACCTTGCTGAAGGAGTTCTTCGAGCACTTTGTCTGCAGGCCTTGGGGCAGGTATGAGCATGCTTGAATGAGTAGCTTATTAGCAAGTGCTTCTCTCTTTTCCAAAGACCGTTCAGTAGAAAATTTGTATACATATGCCTACGTTAGATGTCTGTTTTATGACCTATGAATTGGTTTGACGTAGCAGCTGATTTATAACCATCCAGAGCAGGTATTCATTTAGCAGTTTAAGAAGAAAGTATTAGAATTGGAGGGAAAATGTGTGCACATTGAATGGAAGTTGCCTATAGCTAGGAGCTGTGCAAAGATGATATAGAACTTTGATTCCCAACCCAACAGATTGAATGATGACAGTGAAATAGACTCCTTGTATTCCCGAATTGATTTTAGAAGTCTAGACCAGGGACCTGAAGTCCTTGATCTCTTGCCCTTCAACTGTTCTTGCACCTTTTCTTCTCCTTCTCATATCATGCAGGCATAGAGCTATGATTTCATTAGTATGAGGGGTGAAATCATCACCTAATTACTATTAATCATGTCTTGTATATGTGGGGAGCCCCTCAATATGTTCACTTATGACAAAATAAGATTTAGTTGACTGGTATCCTTGGTCTTTTCCTCAAATCTCTCAGCAGAAGTGACTGAATGAGTTTTTGTTCCTGTCTGAACAGACCGTTGATATCCAACTTGGGATGGCAATTGATAGTGCCAAAGCCACACTTGCAGTGAAACGGAGGCTTGCTTGTGAGATGGTTAAGTACTGGCAGCAGGTACTGCTTCTAAACTCCTTACCTAATTTTGCTGTCTTTAAGTACTTCTCACGCCTCTTTTGGATTATGACTGAACTCCTCAAAGCAAGCTGTCTAAGATAATGCGGTTTCTAGCTCTTCGTGTACAGTTTTCTTATTTGTATCTGTAGTTTTGCCGAAGTTTCATCTTTAGTTGTTGTGAATGGGTTATGGGCTTATGGCACAAGTCTGTTTTGAGTCCCTGTGAGTAACGATCTTGTCTTACATTTGCTTTTTTCTGCAACTTTTTTCTCGTAGACTTAAGGTGTTCAAGTCTCAGATATCATTCCCTCAAGTATCTGATAATGCTGCTTCATCTTGGATGCTTGTGTAAACAGGCTCAAGATAACATAATGAATCTTCCGCTAGCAAATGGTTGGGGAGAAAAGCACCGACTTTTCATTAAGTGGAAATATGTGGAAGCAAGGGTAAGCATTCATCCTAATCTATGTTTTCCAGGGTCCTTGATAGTTGATGCTTGCAGTTAGTTCACTGATGAGAGATACAAGAAAAGACTAGAAATTTCTTGGTCTAATTCTTTGGGTTCCCAATCAATCAGGCTGGTGCATATTATTACCATGGCTTGATCCTGGATGAAGGCAACACTGAAAAATCTCATGGGATGGCGGTAGCTGCATTGCAAGCTGCAGATGAATACTTTAAAGAAAGTAAAAGGGCATGCGAGGCATTCAATGCAGCCACTCCCACGTCCAGGTAACTAAATAATAATGCACCCTAGACATACATAGCTCCTAGTATGCGCTCTACCTGTAATCGCAGCATCCTTGAGTTACCTTCTTTTTTGTTTGCAGAAATCCACCATTTTGGGGAACTATGAAGTACCTGTCAGAGAAAATTCCCAGAGATACTTCCAGCAAAGTGCGGATAAATCGTGATCTCTACTCGCACGAAAAGTAAGAATGTGATTGATCAAGCAACGCCATGTACTTGAGGGAATGTATATAAAATGAACTAACAGCGGTTTTGGGTTATCTCCTCTTCCTTTTCTTTTAATCATTACAGGATCATGGAAACGGCGCCTACTTTGCCAGATTTTGCGTTAGCCCTGAAACCTGACGACTATCAGCTTCCTGCAGTTGATCACTCATGGAACGACGAAAACAACAGAGGGCCGGTGGCAACAAATGCCAACCAACTCAATAGCTGAAGGAAGATAAGAGGCCTATATAATACATTTCCAGGAAACATGCGTATTCTTCAGGAGTAAAAACGTCCAACTAATTCCAACAGGGGAACGGCCATTGAAAAAACAGGGGCAATCCAATTCTTCCAACATTATGGACGGCACAAAAGGGACAAAATCGATGGTCTCATTGTTCTTTCTCCATTTAAGTTGTCGACCAAAATTTGTTTGTTGAAGTCTCTGTTGTGTGTAAATTAGGTCTCTTCTTTCTGCTGATAAAAGAATATACTTGGTGTTCTTATGCAAATGGAATGGAGCTATCCTCGCCTTCCCACCAAAAATTCTCCTGCGTGTAAAACTGAAATCAGGGCAATAAGAGTTCATTTCCTTTTTCCTACATTGTCGATCAGATATACATGACTCTACAAGGAAATCAGCATTGTAAGTATTCTAGTTTTGGCATCTCATATCACAGCTACACCGGACCATTCGATTGTGAATTGGGTGGAAGGAAGATGATTCTGTTCTAATCCTCTTCGGTGGTTTCAGCTGCCTGCCCCTCCTTTTCTTGTTCCTCTACAAAAAGTGAAATGGGAGTCGAACTTCAGAAGAGCAACTAATATGGGAGTAAAACTTTTTGAACTAATGTCGCTAGCCCGCTACTAGGAGTGAACAAACACACCCGCAAACCGACTCACATGTCCAACACGACCCAATCCACCCGTATTTATCGCTAAAACGAAGATTATGGGTTGGGTGAGGGTTTTCTTTTATACAATCCGCATATTTTGGGTTGGGTTTGAATTTTGGATTACACAACCCGTAGAACCCGACCCAAACCGTGTTCCAACTATTAGTATGAGTTCGTATCTAAAAAATATTTATGTCGTATATAGTCGTACTTATGAGAAAATTAAGATATTTCGCCATGTTTTCCTCTCATGGTCTCCTTAATCTAATGTATCCTTCGACTTAAAGTTTAGACATAAATTGTATATAGTTATGATTCACATAATCTTTTTTTCTTGTGTACAATTGTAATACAATAACATATTATTAGGGATGGCAATCGGGCGGATCGGGGTCGGATGTATATGGATCCATCACCCGCCCGCCGAAACTTCGGGTTCGGGGAATCCCCGGCCGAACACTGTTATCGGTTGTAAAAGAGCAACCAAGCCCGCCCGTTTTCGGGTGTCGGGTTTGTCGGGGACCCGAAACCTATCCGACTAGTTCATTAGTTAAAAAACAACAACCAAATTCTTATGTGAAGCTGAAACATGAACTTCATAACGTCAAATCCAGAAACCAGAATGCACTGGAGAAGTAGCAAAAGAACAAAACATTCAACAGAAAACATCCAATCCTAAAATACCATCAAATCCAAAATGACCAAGACCATTGTATCAGCAAAACAAAAGTTTAAATGACTAGCAAAAGTGCAAAACATCTCTACTACTCGTCCTCGAGAACAACTTCGATAGCAACAGCAGCACAACAGCATGAGAAAGACTTCACTTTAGGCCTCCATACTCCACTTTCCAGCAGCAGCAACAATGCAGCATTCTGCATTCCTTGGTTCCACCCAGCAGCCAAGGCAACAAAACTCAAACAAAACCTGAAAAACGAGGAAAAACAACCGTTATTAAGGATCCAAATTCACAAATCATGAACTCAATCATTCTGCATTCTTACTTACATCTTGCTGCTAAGTATCAGTTCACAAATCTTGATTAATCTTCAAGAAGCTTGAAACGAGGGGCTTGCTCTACACATTTAAACAAACTATCTCAATCTCATTGACATATATCAAAGGCTAGAAGAAATCACACAACTGAAACAAGATTTTTTGCTTATTACCTTCAGTAGTTTCAGCATCAGGTTGGAGCTGGACCAGATTGGCTTCACTTGTAGGGGAGAAACATCCTTCCAATACTCCTGCTCCAGTAGCAGCATCATCTAGGAATGCAAGCCAAGTCAAAATAGTTACATAACATGCTAAAACAACAATGAAATTGAACAAAAATATTAACTTAACAGGGTTAAGAGTTTACCTCCAGCCAACTCAGCTTGCAACCAACTTCTTGTGCACACAAGTGTTTCCACAGTAGCATGGTGCAACCTGCTCCTATGAGGGTCTAAAACACGACCTCCAGAGCTAAATGCACACTCAGATGCAACAGAGGTAACAGGAACAGCCAAAACATCCCTTGCTATGGCTTGCAAAGTGGGATATTTTGGACCATTATGCTTCCACCACATTAAAATATCAAACTCAGCAGAACGAGGGAGAATTTCCTCATTGAGGTAACTATCCAACTCAGTATGGACAGAAGTAACTCTTGCCCTTTTTCTTTGGCTCACAAATCGATCAAAGTCCAAATCAGTGGTGCTAGGAGCAGAGGACTCAACTCCAACATACCCAGAAACATTCAGATTCCTCTCCTCATTCATTTTACTTTGGTACTCCAATACCAGATCAGATAATATGTCCTTAACAGATTCCAAACAATAGCCATCAAATTCAACACCAAATTTTTCAGCATAGTACTCAACAATTTCCAACTTATACCGTGGATCTAGAATCACAGCAATAGCAAGGACTTTGTGAATCTCGTCCCAGTACTTGCTGAATTTTTCCAGCATAGAATAACCCATCTTTTGAATCACTTCATTGGTATCAACACACCACTCATGAATCTTGAGTTTCAACTCACAAATACGAGGGAAGAACAGATTAGTCGTTGGATACTTCGATCCAGAGAACAAATCAGAGATAGAGCTAAAAACTTTAAGTTTCTCACAAACAAGTGCAGCAAATTGCCACTGCTCATTCGATGGCAAGAAATTATATTGAGCATCACGTTGCTTCAGTCTAGTGAAAACCTCCTTGTAAGGAATAGCAACAGATAGCATTTTAAAGGTGGAGTTCCACCGAGTAGGGCAATCCATAACAAGTCGTTTCTCAGAAGTGAATTTTAACTGCTTTGCAGTTTCAAGGAAGAACTCTAGCCTTTTAGGGGTAGCAGACCAGTAAACAACACTGCTCCTAATGTTATCAATTCCCTCTTTAACAACATCCAGACCATCTTTCACAATCAAATTCAAGATGTGAGCAGCACACCTCATATGTATCAAAGCACCATCACTTATCAAGTCAGGTAACACTAATTTTGACTGTATGACACGAATCATAGAGTCATTAGTGCTACAATTGTCTAGGGTAATGGTGGATACCTTACTGTCGACATTCCAGTCGAGCAAACAGTTAACCAACACTGTTCCCAACCTTTCAGCAGTATGAGGTGCTGGTACATATGCAAATCTGCACAAGAACGAGCAGACAAAGAAACAATTGCAATTAGGAATGAAACAAAAACTAAGAAACAGAAACCAATGATTCAAATAGATACAAATTACATGTCTTACCTAAGCATATGGCTCCTAAGCACCCACGAATTGTCAATATAATGAGCTGTAACAGCCATGTACCCCTTCTTTTGATTGGTGGCAGTCCACAAATCAGTAGTTATTGCAATTCTACCTCTGTTGATATCAAACAAACTTTGAATCTTAGCTCTTTCAATATCATAGATCTTAAAGACCTCTTTCTTTATAGTATTCCTCGATGGAACAGTGAACAATGGTTGAAGAGAGCATACAAATCTCTTGAAATAGAGATGATCAACCATTGACAAAGGATATTCATGCATTGTAATAGCAATTGCAAGCTCCCTTTTTGAAAAATCAGAGTTGAAAGAAGTAGCAACCAAGTCTTGATTTCCTTTAGCCAAATAGTGAGGGCCGAGAATCTTTTGACTACCATCCCTAATTTTCTTCTGAACACAAATTTTGGTGTGATTCTTTAGGTGGGTAGTGCCATTATTTGATTCCCCACCTAATTGCTTCTTACAATAATTGCATTTAGCCTTGACAATTCCATTAATTCGAACTTTGGTATAGTGTAACCAAACAACACTCTTAAGCTTACCAACGTCGAGTATTTCCTCGACAACATTACCATTCCCAGCATTGCCATTCTGCTCATTTGTAGTTGCTGCCTGCGAAGTTGGGTTTGTGACAGTCCCATTTCCAGTAGGTGCAGACAGAACTGGATTTGCACTATTGTCATTATCTTGTGGAGTGGGTTGAACCCCCTCTGTTGACATTGTTCCTGTCGAAAAAACAGAGGAACAAGGATTAGTAGGATATCAAGCGACTCCCTCAATCATTAACCAACACCAATGATCAAAATTGAAACAAAGAAAGTGGATATTTACCTTGAACAAACAGAGTGAGGCACAAACAACGGGTGGGAATGGATGTGAAGATGATTCTCGCACAGTCGCATGCACAAGGCCAGTAGCCACAAACCAAACAAGCAGTAAAAGGATGAGAAGTCAGTCTGAGAACTGAGAAACAGAGTACTGAGATTGAGACTTGAGAGAAGTATGAACAAAAAAATAAACCCCACCTCGTATTTATACTCCAACTTCAATCTCCAGCCGAATCGACTATTCGACTTCGCTGTCACTGCGAGAAATTCTCTTTGCATGCGCCAAGCCATGATCGAAAGGGAAATGATTATCATCATCGGGAAGGAAAGCGGATAATCGATGGGAGATTGAGATATGCGACCGATATGTTAGGGATTCGATGCAGCGGGAGCAATCGGATTGCTAGATTCTAGCCTAGGGTTGGAGGCGGAGAAGAAAATGGGAGACGAAGAGTTGAGGGGAGTATTCTAGACCTAGGGTTTCTGATTAGAGGGTGTTTATATATGTACGGGGCGGAGTCGGGGCGGATAGTTTCGAGTCCGAGGCCCGACCGAAGCCCGTTTCTCTTATTCTCGGGTTAATCCGAGTCCGGCCCGGAGCCCATCATCAACGGATTTTGCCTGATTTTGTCGGGTCGGGTTCGGATCGGATATTCGGGTTTCGGTTCAATTTGCCAAGCCTACATATTATGGATGTGTTCGTTTACAACCTTTTTAGCCTATTTCAACAAATATCATAAAAAAATAGACATATGTTGAAGTAAATCACATTTTATTAAAATTCAAAAAACATTTGTGAATTTTGATACCTTTCACCTCGGTTTATTTGTTTGAAATTTTAATTAGTTATAAAATATTTTTATGGTGTGGAATAATATTTTGTGTTGGGTTGGGCTTTTACTTAAAAATATTGCCAATCCGACCTAATCCAATTAGAAACAAACCTTAGGGTTTAAATTTTTTGGGTGGGTTTGGCTTTAATATTTCTCAAACCGTAGTGCATGGGTTGGATGATTAAAATAGATAAACCCGGACCACCCGACCCATGTACACCCCTACCCGCTACCATGGGAATAAGAAACTAGCAAACTATCCAAACTCGAGGGTTTTCTAACTTACCCATGAGTTTGTACAATGCTTTCTGCGTTCGTCGGTCAAGCTTATCAAGCTTCTTCTGAACATCCCTCCGCAGGTCCCAGTTTGGTTTCTTTGGAGCAATGTTGAGGAATGGATCCTAAGCACCAAAATAAGAACATGGACCAAAATTAGAACTGATAAAGAACAGAAAAAATTTCTAGAAGAAGACGAGGCTTCTACTAGTAAAATGTGTCTGAGTTGAGTCGAGTCGAGTTGAGTCGAGCAAGTACATACCTCTTTCTCCTCCAGTGGCGGAGGGGCTGCTGCAACAGGATCTTCAAACTTTGGTAGCACTGGTGGAGCAATCCTTCCCTCTTGAAGCTCCTTGGCTTGAGGTACATAGTTGTGAAACCTCAACCCTTGATTACTGGAGATGCAATGAAGAAAATGAGGTGCAAAATACATTTTAATTAAACTAGTGCATGAAGCTCACAGAAAATATACTAGCAGGTTTCCTCGATTAAGAGCTCTTCAGAATTGACATGGGAACTTAGGTTAAGCTCAACAGTCGAACCATTTACTCATAGAGGCAAATGTGCCATCCACTAGCACAAATACTTCTTAGTTTTCCCGTACAGGAAACGAGACAAACATACACAGTTCAATCACAATTCATACTTGGAAACTACCAAAGAAACTAAATCCACAATTGCAATGGGCCATTCTAAAACCTACAAAGGAAGCAACTGCTCAGAAAGGTAGATGTGACAACAACAGTTCTTATAAAATGGAGCCACATCCACCCCTGAAACAATGATCTGATTTCCCAATTCCAAGCCGTTATCAAATGCCCTCGTGATTTCTCAGCACTTTAAGCAAATAAAACCAGCAATGAGAGTCATTCTTAAGATCTTTCTAGAGTTCCTACTGTGCTTCACAATTCCTTTCAAAACTAACCTACTCTGGTTTAACACTTACAATCAAGATGCAGCCCTGTCCAATCATCTATTTCACACCATACTCACTTAACCTACAAATTTACAGATAGGATTCACAACGACGACAGCAACAACTCCTCAGAATGAAAGGGAATACTATTCTCATGCACTAGTAGTTGGCTAACTTAAGGTGCACCTATCCAAGCTATACTCACTCGCCATTAGCTGTTTCAATCTCTTGATCCGTCTTATCCTCAACTAGTTCTGAACCCTCATCCGGGGTGTTCATAAGCTCCTTGGCAGCTTTAAGAGTCATCAGTCTCTCACGCCGTACTACCGCAGCTTGTTCGATGGAATCCTCCTCGCTCGTCATTGTTCCTTTCACCTGCACCGCAGTTTCTTATCTCCGTCAAATTTGACCTCCTAAACATCACTAAGGGGGGAAAACCCCAAGGAAAGTACTCAAGGAGCAGCCAACCCAACCCTCACAAGATACAATCAAGCTAATTGGAACCCTCGATAAAAGTCAAAACGAACTAAAGCATTTCCAATTCCAGAGCGAAGAATTCAGATAAGTAAACAATGGGAGAGAAAACGAACCTCCTTCTCCGGCAAGCCAGCCTTCGAGACTCCGAAACTGTAACGCTCTCTGATTGACTTCTAACTTCCGATACCGACGAGTGATTTGCTTTGCTTCAGCGGCGCCCTTAGACCAACTCAATGCTACATCCTCTATATTTGGAGATCTCCATTTTTTTTGTTTTCCATTTACTTAAAAATGTATTTATCAAAGTCTTAATATAATTTGTTCGTATTAATTTTTATATAGTTTGTCATCATTTTTAAATACAAATTTTTCGATATAATTTTTTATTTATTTTGAGACCAAATTTTTGTTGACAAAAAATGATTGACCTAATTTGAGTTTACACATAACACTTGAAAATTATTGATCTAATTAAACCCTTAGCTAATCCCCTAATTAAACCCCAATTAACCTTTAAAATCTTAAAAAGAAAAAGAAATGCCACGTGGCGGGCTTTGGGGAGTCTCTATATTTGGGGGAACCCCATTTCCACCCCAAATTTGAGGATCCTTTTGGAGATCTCCCCCATATATAGGGGCTCGGATAGAATAACAACAATGTTAGTGTTGTTATTATAACAACAAAATTCATTAAGGGTAAAAGGGTAAATTAGATAGAAAATAATAAAACAAAGTGAATTAAAATTCACCCGCTGTCAGGTCTCATCTCTCACCATTGCGAGTTTGCGACCCTTCTCATCCACCCCGCTCATTGGAGCCACTCCCTTCACCGTCCCCGGAGCGTAGCCGAAGAACGACTCCTCGCCGCATTCCACGAAGTTCCTCCGCGGCGGTGCTGGCTGTGTGGGAATAGCTCTCCCAGTATACAATCCCTCTCGCCGACTCTCCCAACTCGACCATCGTATCCTCTTCCTCTCTCATTGACTCCCTAAACCTAATTGCTACCTACGCTGAACACCTCCTCCTCTCCTCAACATCCAAAGAATATACATTGTCAACATTTGGGAGATGCTCGACAGGATTTTTCTGTAATTAGTGGTGCGAATTTGCGCCTCCACCGACTATAAGCAAGCGTGCGAGGAAACTCTCCGGCCGATAAACGATACGAACGACCCCAAGGATTTCATCAAGGCGGCGATCACCGCCACCATCGAAGCCACGAAGAGATCCTTCAATCTCTCCTCCGCTCTGACAGAGAAAATCAACATCGGCCGCCGCCGCCTCAATCGAATATAATCAATCATAGAATCAGTACTTGGGTTCATACAATCAAACCTAACATACAAATCTAGGGTTCTCCATACCCAGATGAATGGGAGAACTACTCCATGGAGAAGAAAGCAAAAGCAGAATCAGACGCGGAATTCATTCTGTGAAGGATGGATTCCTGCTCCTGGACGTTGATCGGCACTTCTCCAAGCTCAAACAAGCCTCCAATGGTGTTGAAGATCAAGCTACGGCGCTTGGAGACTCTTGTTCGTCGCTTTCTCTCTCTAGGAACTGATCTCTCTCTCTAAAACTCGAATCCCCTTGACTTGTGGCTGAAAATCTGCTTAAAAGCATCAGTGGCCAAAGCACGGTCGAGGGCACGGCCGTGCTTTGCCTGAGTCCGCCCGTGTTTCGGCCAAGGTTAATTACACGGCCAGCAGTTGGGGGGAAACACGGCCGTGCTTCGCGGTGGACACGGCCGTGCTTTGGTGGAACACGGCCGTGCTTTGGTGCCCGTGTTTGCAGCTGAATTTGCCAAATCGAATTTGCTCTCGGCATAAAAAGCACGGCCACAGGAACACGGCCGTGTAATGCCTTAGGTGTGCCCGTGTTTTGGTTCCAGCTTGACGAAATGACCTCCAAATGCCCCGAAACTCGCGCTTAGCCTTCCCTTTGACACCTGGGACCTGAAACATGACAAAATAACACAACCCGGCGTAAAATAGGCCAAAACACACGACTATGCCCCTCAAACGGATAAGAACTAGGGGCGCAAATATGTGCAATTACATCGTTATCAAACTCCCCCACACTTAACCGTTTGCTTGTCCCCAAGCAAACCTAACTCAAACCAATGCAACTCTTCAGACCTCTATAGCAACAAACAACCCAGATCGTAGATAGAGGACTTCCTAGATCATTTAGCAGCTTACGAGGTCAACCGACGCACAAGTCATCTCATAGCTTCTTTGGCGAGTCGGCATCATGGCAAACAGTGAACAGAGGACAAATGAATCGTGGATGGAGAGATTCTCAAAAACAAAGGATCATGGACTCACATTTTTCAAGGTGCTCTATTTTCTTTGAAGATGGTTGGAACCCCTTTTTTCTGTTTTGCTTGTTTTCTGTTATTTTTCTTTTTTTTCTTTTCAAGGGTCCCAACCTGCTCTTACCGGCCATGCCAGGAGCGGATGTCTCGAGCCTCGTGCGGGGGAAAGCCATGCAAGGGGGCTGGAGGTAGTAGGTGGAAATTGGGAAAGGATTCCCGTCTCCCCTTACACACTTTCGCCCTATTCGCACGGGAGACGTTATTTTGAAGCACATTTTCGAGCACCTGTTAAATTCAAAACATGAAACAAGAGTCCATGACCGGCAGAGAATCCACAACACCACACAATTCAAGGGTCCTAAGATCACTAATTCACTCAATCAACCAACACAATATGAAGAAGAAATGAGACTTCTTAAATGCATCAACATCCTCCATAGTGCTACACCACCTCCCTAGGTTGCATATTACTATAAAGACTGTCAATTCAAAGCATACTAAGTAGGCAAATGCAAGGAACACGTACTTGGAGCCCTCAAATTTAAAAATTTGGACAGTGGACTAGGCTCCAAGCACACAAACAGATCTAATGCAGTCAAAAGATAAAAATCCCCCCACACTTAAGCTCGACATTGCCCTCAATGGAGAAGAGGGAAGGATAAGGGGAACGATGTTACCGGTATGCACGGACTACAGGAGACTGGAAGCGGGCCAGTCGGGGCAAGCACAGCCAAAGGGAAACAGAAGAGCTCAAACACAATATGTTAGGTTCAATGGTCAGCCCAATAAAATATCGTCCAAACCAAAAGAAAACAAACCAAACCCAAACCGGGTTACAATCCGACTCAAAACACAGGAAAGAAAATCAAACCGTGGTGGGGTTGCCTCCCCACAAGCGCTTCTTTACCGTCGTTTAGCTGGACGCCCATGGTGGATACTCAGGGCGGTGCAGGAACAGGTGCCTCCAAAAGCGGATCCACGTCGCTCTTGAGGTACAGCTTCAGGTTGTGGCCATGCACCCGACGGATGCGACCACTATCATTAGTCAGCTCGACCTGCCCATCTGGCAAGATGCAGGCGAGTGAGTACCCGGACGGCCAGGGTGGTAGTGGTGCAGGAGGTGGGACCAGCTCATAGTGGTCTCCACTCTTCTTCCGTGCAGGCTTAGCAACCTGCTGCTTCGGCCGCCACTCCTCCTTGAGCTTTTTGTTCGGAGGCGTGGCTGGATGGAGTGGCGGCGAAGGAATGATAGGAGGGTCCTGCAAAATAGGAGGTGCAGAAGGGTACACGACAGACTCGTGTACCTGATCAGAAATGGCATGCACAGGCGTGACAGCAATCATAGCACAGTGATCAAATTCAGTCACAGAAAAAGTGGCCTGTTCATCCCCAGCACGCAAGATCAACTTACCATCATGCACATCAATAAGTGCCTTGGCGGTGGCAAGAAATGGTCTACCCAGAATCAAAGGTACATCCACATCCTCATGTATATCAAGAATAATAAAATCAACAGGATATGTGAATGCACCAACACTAACAAGCAGCTCCTCTATGATTCCCCTAGGATGCACGATAGAACGATGAGCTAACTGAATGCTCATCCTAGTAGGGCTAAGTTCACCTAGGTCTAGCTTTTTATACAACTTATATGGCATGACGTTTATGCTAGCGCCTAGGTCCGCCAAGGACTTTCCTACATGCATGCTGCCAATAGTAAGAGGGATAGTAAAACTCCCTGGATCCTTGCGCTTCTCGGGCAGCTTGTTATGCAGGATAGCAGAACACTCCTCGCTCAGCAGCACTGTCGAGAGATCCCCAAGTTTCTTCTTGTTGGTGCAGAGATCTTTCATGAACTTGGCATACTTGGGCATCTTCGACAGTGCCTCCACGAACGGTATGCTGATGTTGAGCTGCTTCAACATTGCCATGAACTTGGCAAACTCAGTCTCCAGCTTGTCCTTGTGTAAGCGAGTGGGGAAGGGAAGCTGGGGCACATGCTCCTTAACCACTGGTTGTGGCTTGGGAGCAGGGGCTTCCTTCTCCACCCGCACTGCTGCATCGTCTGCTGGAAGTGCTGAAGCAGGTAGTGGTTCCTCCTGTCTGGCCGGAACAGGATCAGCAGATATGGCCCTACCGCTCCTGGTAAAAATGGCATCAAGCTGCTGGAGCTGGTGAGGATCCCGAGGATTCGGGATAGTGGTGGCAGGCAGAGTCCCCGGTGCCCTGGTGGTGCTTTGGCGGGCCAAGATGCCCACCTGGGTCTGCAGATCCTGCAAAATGGCACCCTGGTTCCTCTGACCTGCCTCTAGTGACGCTACACTCTGGTCCAACCTCGTGATAGTCGCCTGAGTGCTCGTCATGAATGAAGCTAGAATGTTTTCCAGCTTCGTCATCCTGTCATCTGGGGCTGGAGCTGCTACTGGCTCGGCAAACTGGCGCTGGGGCTGCTGGAATGGCTGCCCCTGCCTAGGCTGGTAGGGCTGCTGCTGTGGGTCTGGCCCCTGGCAAGCCTAGAAGGGCTGCCTCTGCTGAAAACCACCTGCTGGTGCTGGGAAACTAGGTGGTTTAGTGGTGTTGCTGCTCCAGGCGAAGTTGGGATGCTGGCGCCACCCCTCATTATATGTGTTACTGTATGGATCGAGGCGCCGCGCATTGGCGATGAAGGCCAACTGCTCCTGGGGTGTGGTAGACTCCCTCATAGCCTGGCAGTCCTCCACTAGGTGATTGGAGCTCTCACACCACTGACACTGAGCAACTGGAGGTGTAGCCAAACCTCTGCCCGGAATAAGACTGTTGGGCTGCTTCAATGTCTGCACCAGCTCAGCTACCTGCTGCTCGAGTCCGGATCGGGACTCCATGGCGTGCACACCACGGTCCCGGGAATGTCTGCCTCTGCTGCTCTGCCCCCAGGAATGATCTCTGGCAGCCAATGTATTAATCATCTGGTTCAGCTCGGGTGGAGTCTTAGTGAGAATATCCCCTCCTGGGCATAGAGACTCAATCACCCTCTGGCTATCTGGAGAGAGGGCACTGTAAAAGTTCCCCACTGTGAATGCATCGTTGAAGCCATGATGGGGGCACTGCCAGAAATAGCCCATGTACCGCTCCCACGCATCAAGAAGTGACTCATCTGGCTCTTGGCGGAAGTGAGTGATCTCCCGCTGGATCTCTGTAGTCTTCGATGCCGGATAATACCTGTGCGCGAACTTGTCCGCCAGATCGTCCCAAGAGGTGATCGTCCCAAGAGGTCGAGGGCACGGCCGTGCTTTGCCTGAGTCCGCCCGTGTTTCGGCCAAGGTTAATTACACGGCCAGCAGTTGGGGGGAAACACGGCCGTGCTTCGCGGTGGACACGGCCGTGCTTTGGTGGAACACGGCCGTGCTTTGGTGCCCGTGTTTGCAGCTGAATTTGCCAAATCGAATTTGCTCTCGGCATAAAAAGCACGGCCACAGGAACACGGCCGTGTAATGCCTTAGGTGTGCCCGTGTTTTGGCTCTAGCTTGACGAAATGACCTCCGAATGCCCCGAAACTCGCGCTTAGCCTTCCCTTTGACACCTGGGACCTGAAACATGACTAAATAGCAAAACTCGGCGTAAAATAGGCCAAAACACACGACTATGCCCCTCAAACGGATAAGAACTAGGGGCGCAAATATGTGCAATTACATCGTTATGAGGAATCAACCAAGCGAAATGATGGAGAAGACTATCCGCGGATATATATGGATTGCAACCATGGTAAGAGGAGCAAATCATATACCCCAGATTTGGCAAAGACAAGACGCATATCAAAATCAGGCAAGCAAGGTTGTCAGTTCCGAGTGGTAGTGCGGAGTTCATTGGTAGATGGCAAATGTAAGTGGAGAATTTTGAGTGTTACAGACAGATCTGGGAAGCCAAAGGGAATTCACAATCACAAATTGGAAGTTTATGCTGAAGGAAGCAGGCAAAGGAATTCTCTTTCAAATGAGGAAAATATTGAAATTAAGGAGTTGGAAGCAACACATACTCAGGCGAAAGATATAAGAAGTTTTATAAATAGGAAGTTTGATGCTCATCACAACATGGATCATGTTTATAATGAGACAGCAAAGATTAGGCGTGAGAGATTGGGTGATCTTTCCCCTATGCAGTGGACATTTATAGAAGCTGGCCGTCTTGGCTACTTCATTGGAGTTGGTTTTGATGAAGACCGTCGTGTTACTAGACTCTTCCTTTCCCATCCAGAGTCTATTAAGATGTTGAGCGCATGGTATTTTGTTATTTTGATAGACTCGACGTACAAGACCAACAAGTATAAGCAACCACTGGTTCAGTTGATTGGTGTTAATCCGGTGAAGAAGAACTTCAACATAGGGTTCACATTGGTTTCAGATGAGACAAAGGAGACATATGCTTAGGTATTGTCGCAATTGAAGAATGTTCTGGGTGGTCGAAGACCAGATGCGTTCGTCACCGATAAGGAGGGCGAGTTGGGTGTATCCGTGCGTGAGATCTTTCCATCTTAAGCTCATTTACTATGTGTGTGGCACATGAAGAAGAACATTGAAGCCAAGATGATGTCTCTCGGGATAAGTCGAGAATCCGCAGAGGCGTTTGTAGTAGGGAATTGGCAGACACTCATGAATGCCAACACTCAGGGAGGGTTCAGCGACGATGGGTAGACTTGCAAACTAGTGATTGGGATAAAAACCCACGCTTCATGAACTACTTGAGGGGTGAGTGGATACCATGTGCGCAAAGGTGGGCTCATTGCTACACCAATCGTGTTTTCCATATTGGTAACACGAGCACAAACCGGGTAGAGTCAGCTCATTCGTCCTTGAAGAAATGGCTTGCCAGTTCGACCCACAAGATCAACACTCTCTTTCTTAGATATCACACATCCATTGAGGGAAAAGTGATTGAACGAAGAAAGGACTTAGAGGATTTGCATTTGAAGGTATGTTCCTTGTTTCTTCAATTGTGTTGATATTCCCCCATATACTCAATTTGATTTTGATGTAGAAATTCGTTCTTTTATATAGGTATTTAAATTAGCTGACGGTCCGCCATATGGTCACTTGAATATGGAAGTAAGCTTGTGGGCAATTGAGTTGTTGATGAAAGAACGAGCAAGAGAAATTGTTGAGCGATGTGGATGTCGGCTACATGAGACACATGGTCTACCATGTAAATGTAAGATGGATGCACTTAGTGATGCCGGCGTGGAGTTACACCCTCACCACTTACATCGATTCTGGTCATCTTTGGTGTATGAGAGTCCTCCTGATGGTGCAAAACGGGGGGGACCATGATGCCACTGAGCGTTGCATTTTTGCAGGCATGGTGGCAGATGTGTACAGGCAAGGACCAGCTGCGGTCCGGAAGGCATCTCAATTACTACTCCCTCATATTCGTCCACAAGTTGCAGGCCTACTAGAGCCTAGGGAGTCAGAGGCTCCAAAGGGGCGACCACCAAAGAGGTCAAACACTAGAGATCCTTCTTGGTTTGAGCATGAGAGGGCACGGTCAGCAAAGAGGAGCAAAACAAATCAAAACACGAAAAGACACAGAAGACGACTCCTACAGGTTAGCAAATTTCTTATATTTTTTTGTGTAATCATAGTCCTTGGTATGTAGTCGTTTCCATTAGTTAATTTTTTTTGTCTCAATAGGAGGTGTCTCGAAAAGTCAGCATATGCAAGTCCACAATGAGAGAAATGTGTGTCCCTATCTTTGCTACATCCCACCTAGTGTGCGCCCTCTTCTTAGAGGTTGGTTTGACCCAATTCTAGACGGACAATGTGGTTTTCGGGCCATGTCACATGCGATTTATGGAGACGAGGGACACTACTTACAAATGAGGCAAAATCTTATCACAGAAATCAATAATCATTGGGCTATCTATAAGGGAGTTTATCTTTACAGAGATGGATCGTTGGAGGCAGTACATCACAGGATTGATTGTCGGACCGGAGTTGCACCCAAGAGTATTGGTTTGAAGAGGTGGATTTGTTGACATTCGCAACCCTATACAACTGTGCAATGGTTGTTTATGGACTGTATAATGAGCGGGTGACGTATGGGTGCACCGTCTTACCTATGACGGCGTCGGAGGGGGTCACTCAACCTAGTCAGGTTATAAAGTTGGTTTTTGCTGGGGGCACATTGGGTGCGACTATATGTCGGCGAAGTTGATGGGGGTGACACCAATACCTCCTTTTAGTCCACAGTGGTCTCACTTCCGGGATATGCTAAGAGTTGCTGATTGGGATTCATTATATGAGGCGGAGCGGCAATTGTATATCGATCTTGGAGGACATCATCCAACCAATGATGATGAGAGTGATTAAACTTTGCTGCATTATATTTTCCGTTTGAAGATTGAACATTATGTCGAATTAGTTATGGATTTACCTTTCTCCTATGATCAAGTGATTTTTTTTATGAAAGTGATTATTATTTTAAATTTTTAGATATGAAGATGATTGTAATTATCTATTTTTGGATAAAATCATATTGTCTTTAAGCCCTACTTATAATTATTATTTACTAATCATATAATTTAAGCATGGAATATAGCAGTTCATCACTAATCATATAAATTCATCTCTAATAACATATGTACATTAATTGTAAAATTTAAATCACTATATTTAAAAATTAAATGCAAATCCCAATGATTGTACATTAGCACTAATTAATTATAAACACAATATTTAAATTTTTTACATTAATCATATATATAACAATAAAATCATCACTAATAATAATAATTGTACATTAATTCTATCTAAATCACTTATTCAAACAACCGAAATCGAACTGGACATAAAGCTGGTCCTGCCATTCTTGGGTTCTTCGCTACCCGACCAATTACCCAACCCGCGACCCGCCTGAGGAGTCTGGACAGATCGGTATCCCTTCCTAAGCCGTCGATGACCTCTCTGCTTCATCCTCCTTCCTCCTCAACGACGCCAGTCTGTTTTCCTAGATCTGTCTCAATGTCGACCTGGATGATCTGTCTCAATCGGCGATTTCCTCCTCACCTTCGCTCCGCAGCAGCCGCAGCGACTGAACTCAATTCCAGGGCGAACGGCTGCTTGGCTGCGACGGGGGAGCTGGGCGATGTTCATTTAGGGAGAATGACGCCTTGGTTGCGATGGGAGGGCGTGACGGATTTGGGGGCAAACGGGGGCTTCCTGCCACGGGAGGGCGTACGGCGGCGGCGGCGCTCATCCAGGGCGACTAGCGGGCGAGTCCTTTGGGGGATTAGGGCGAGGGCGTCGATGTTGGGTTTGGGGGTTGGAGGAATTAGGGGTAATTTTGTCTACTCAGTTTATTTAGGGCGTAAATTTTAAAAACTTAGGGCGTTAAATAGAAACCCAGTTACCCATTCCCCTTCTATTCAATGGGAGCATCAGAGCAAAGCAGAAGACAAAAAGAAAGAAGAAGAAGAAAAAAATAAATGAATATAATGATTTTTTTTCAACCGTAAGCACAGAAGAGCACTGGGCCGCATTTCATTAAAAAATTAAAACCGTAAAGAAATATAATGATTTTTTTTTCAATATATATTGTACACTATCGTATTTTAATTTAGTGAATGCAACAATAATGAAGTCCACCTCCGTACCAATAGTATAAACTGTTTCAAATAAAATACTTGAGCAATCGGCAAGAAATTCATCGCTTATTTTATCGCGCAAATAAGTTTTTACACATGTTTCATTTTTTGAAAAAGTTCTCCCGGTAGTAGCTTTTGAAACGAGCAGCGTCAACACTAGACAAATCAATCGTGCATTGTGTGTCCATTCCTAGATTCACCAACTACTCTAATAAATTTTCAAGGGACAAAACCTCATATTTCTTCTAGTCTTTTACGTTTTAGACTTTTAGAATTTCAAATTTCATTTTTTTTAGATGAATAATATTTGGGGCTAGAATTTCTTGTCTAAATAGAATAATGATTGAAAAATTTTAATTTGAATTTTTTTCCTAGTTATACCCAATCTTATTATAAAATAACACGGAGTCGAATGTCTATTATCGAAAAATTCATAAGGACTACACTAATGCCGGATCCAGAGGAGGGATGGGCCGGGGCCTGGTGTGGCCACCCCCTGGATCCGCCACTGTTTGCTATTGACCCGAGCACCTGCCGACACACCTTTAGTGTCGATTCTACAATTCAAGTAAAGATAAATCAGTCCATCTAGCACCTCACATTCAGGATCCAGCCACATGATGCAAATTAAATAGACCCGATTGTTCATATCCCTCAAACTGTGAAGTAGAGACTCCCTCTCTACGGTGTAATATTTGGGTCCCTTATTCAGAAAATCCAGATCAAAGGGTGGAGAATTAAAGGCATTTTTATTTTGGTTAAATGCACTTGTATATCCAAAACTTTCACGATTGTGCCAATAATATCCAAATTTCCCGAAATACCACTTATATCCATATGGTATTTTTTAAGTCGTTTTTGAATTTGTTTTTGCATAGAATGACGAGTTCATCATGATTTATTGGATCTACAAATTTTGGGTGAACAAAATACAGTACAAAAAAATATCACACAATACCACCCTGGTACGGGGTGGTATCTTGTGGTACACAATGTTGAAAGTCGTTGACTCGCTTTGACTATCACAATAAAATCCCACCTAAGGTCCAAGTATAAACCTTAGATGGGTGAAATATAGGGAAAGTATGTTTAAATATCGACCCAGGCCAGTCCATGTTCCGCTACTTCGACTGTTTGAAACATTATCTAGCGGATTGAGTTTGGTGAAAACCAAGGTCTAAAACTAAATTGCTTTGTAAAGGTAAAATGGATTTGACTCTAGTTGAGAAAACTTCACCCGAGTGTTGCTCCCCCTAGCTAACAATTATGACTTGAAGAATCGAACGACCGTGTGTGGTTAGGGGGTCATAAACCGCAGGGAAGTCTAACAAGCAGCCGAAGCTACCCTCTTAGCCTCTAGTTGAGGAATGGGATACGATCCAAACCACTAATGTGACCCTCTCAACATATCAACTATGTAATGGTTAGACTTCACCCTCAAATTGGAGTTCGGACGGCCACCCACAACCAAACCCTAAGTGCTAATGCGAATTAGGAGGTTTGCCAGTTAACTAACCTAGAATAGGGGGCATAGAATGCCCAAGGAAACCCATATATAATAGAGCCTCTTAGGTTAAGGAGGGTTCCCTCTAAACTAGCTTAGGAGGCATTGAATGCCCAAGGAAACCCATCTCGAAATGATCCTCTTAGGTTAAGGAGGGTTCTCTCTAAACTACTTTAGGAGGCATTGAATTCCTAAGGAAATTGAGCCTCTTGGGTATAGGAGGTTTCCTCTCTAAACTAGCCTAGGAGGCATAAAATGCCCAAGAACACCCAAAAAGCCTCCAAACC